AAACACATGAGGATGGGGTTGGCACTGTGGCATAGGGGGTAAAGCTGCCGCCTGCAGTGCCAGCATCCCATATAGGCACTGGTTCAAGTCCAGGCTGCCCTACTTCTGATCCAGCTCCATGCTATGGCCTGGGAAAGCAATGGAAGATGGCCCAAGTCCTTGGGTCCCTGCACCCACATGGGAGACGCAGGAGAAGCTCCTGGATCCGGATTGGCACAGCTCTGGCCATTGTGGCCATCTAGGAAGTGAATCAGCGGGTGGAAGACCTCTCTCTCTCTCTCTCTCTCTCTCTGCCTGTCTGTAATTCTGCCTTTCAAATAAGTAATTTTTAAAAAGTGAAAGAACTGAGAGCAGAAAAAGACAAATCCAGTATGATAGCTGGAGACTCCAATACCCTTCTTCCAGTAATTATAGATCAAGCAGGCAGAAAGTAAGGATACAGTTGACTTGAATTCTATCATTGCATTGACATTAATAGAACATTCCACCCAACAACAGAATAAAGTCTTCTCAAACTATTACATAGTAGTCACTAATATTCTGGGTCATAGAACACACTTTAACAAATTTCATCCAGGTCTCCCACATGGGTGCTGGGACCCAAGGACTTGAGCCATCTTCTGCTGCCCTCCTAGGCAGATGAGTAAGGAACTGGATTGGAAGTGGAGCAGCCAGGGGCCGGCGCCGCGGCTCACTAGGCTAATCCTCCGCCTTGAGGTGCCAGCACACCGGGTTCTAGTCCTGGTCGGGGCGCCGGATTCTGTCCCGGTTGCCCCTCTTCCAGGCCAGCTCTCTGCTGTGGCCCGGGAGTGCAGTGGAGGATGGCCCAAGTGCTTGGGCCCTGCACCCGCATGGGAGACCAGGAGAAGTACCTGGCTCCTGCCATTGGATCGGCGCAGTGCGCTGGCCACAGCACGCCAGCTGCGGCAGTCATTGGAGGGTGAACCAATGGCAAAGGAAGACCTTTCTCTCTGTCTCTCTCTCTGTCCACTCTGCCTGTCGGAAAACGACACAAACACAAGAAAAAAAATGAAGAAGAAGAAGTGGAGCAGAGCAGCCAGGACTTGAACTGGCGCCCACATGGGATGCTTGCACTGCAGGTGGTGGCTTAACCCATTACACCATAATACCAGACTGAGTATTTCTTAATTTACACTATGGAGTATCTAAGTCAGAAATATACTGCAATACAGACCACTATTCCAATCATAGAAGCAAAATCTCCAACAAAGTATCAGCACCTCAAATACACGATATAGAAAAAGGATTATAGACTGTGGCCAGCTGAGAGTTATTGCAAGTATGAAAAACTGATTCAACATTCAAGACCTAGTCAATGTAATCTACCACATGAACAGGCTAAGAAGAACACTAACATGATCTAGCGACTGATGCAGAAAAAGCATCTGATGGATGCAACACCCACTCATGGTGAAAACTCCCAGAAAACTCACTTTAGAGAACTTCCTTAATTTGGTCAAGAAATCCACTTTTGGAAAGGGTAATAGCAAACTTCTTACTTTTTTTAAATTACTTTATTTGAAAGGCAGAGTTACAGAGAGAAAGAAGGAGAGATAGAGAAATCTTCCAACTGCTGGTTCACTCCCCAAAAGGCTGCAACAGCCAGGGCTGTGACAGGCTGAAAACCAGGAGCCAGGAGCTTCATCCGGGTCTCCCATGTGGGTGCAGGGGTCCAAGCACTTGGGCCACCTTCTTCTGCTTTTCCCAGGCTAGCACTCATATGGCATGCTAGCACTGCAGGTGGTAGCTTGACTCGCCGTGCCACTGCACCAGCCCACAGACTTCATACTTAACAGTGAGAGAGCACCTGCTTTCTATGATCAGAAACAAGGCAAGATGTTCCCTTTTACCACTCCTATTCAACATCCTGCTGGAATTCCTAGCTAATGCAATACGAAAAGGAAAGACAAAAATAAAAGACAGAAACTATTCACAGATGACATGACTGTCTATTTAAAAAATCCTTAAGGCCAGCATTTTGGCATAGCAGCTGAAGCCACTACCTGTGATGCTAGTATCTCATATGGGTGCCAATTTGTGCCCAGGCTGCTCCTCTTCTGATCCAGCTCACTGCTGGTAGCCTGGGAAGGCAGAGAAAGTTGGCCCAAGTATTTGGTCCCCTGTACCCAGATGGGTGACCCAAATGAAGTTCCTTGCTCCTGGCTTTACCCTGGTCCAGCGCTGGCTATTGCAGCCATCGGGGGAGTGAACCAGAAGATGGAAGATCTGTCTCTTCCTCTCTGTAGCCCTTTCAAAATAATAATTTTAAAAATATCCTCAACAAATGACCAAAAAACAGAATGAAAACCCTACCTAGAACCACTAAGCAAGTATAGCGCAGTTGAATAATGCAAAGTTAATATATAAAAGTCAATGGCCTTCCTACACACAGCAATGGACACCTGGAATTTAAGTATTTCTAAAACCCCGTTTACATGAACACACACAAAAAGCAGAGGAAATACTTAGATGTAAGTCAGTATCAACCCATTTAGCTTATTAAAATATAGGTGGTTTTATATAGCCATGTTTAGAAATATGCATATACACAGGTTAGTATACATATACCTGTATTTCCTTTCTCTACCAGCTGAGAAGTATAGAAGCAAAGATAGTCTAGTAGGAACTGACATCCTGAAACAATTCTATCAGTTTCTCATACCATTTTCTGGAAAAAGAAGCCAGTGTTCCTTGGATTGGGCTGGAAACAGACAACACAAAGGGCCGGCGATGTGGCATAGCATGTTAAATCAGTGCCCGCAATGCCAACATCCCACATGGGCGCTGGTTCTAGTCCCAGGTACTCCCTTCCAATCCAGCTCCCTGCTGATGCCCTGGGAAACCAGTGGAAGATGGTCCAAGCGCTTGGTCTCTCTGCACCCACGTGGGAGACACAGAAGAAGCTAAGTTCGGTCTAGCCCAGCCCTGGGCATTGCAGTCATTTGGGGAGTGAACCAGTAGATGCTATCTCTCTCTCTTTCACTGTAACTCTGCCTTTCACATAAAGTTAAAAATAAATATCTTTAAAAAATAGACAATATGAGACTAGAGCATTTTGTCGTATCAAGGAAGAAAGTACTCAAGTGAAAAAAAAAAAAACAAAACTCATAACAAGAGTATGTTAAAAGGACACAAGAGCCAACTGAGAGCTCCTAGGGATTAATACTTGGACATCTGAGCAGCAAAATAAAGTGGTACTGGAGTATAACCACAAACCAAACAGCACTAAACCTACAGTGCATCCACAAGTCCATACCAATATCAGTAAGTGATCTAGCTAAAGAAATGCCAAGAACAAAGATCCCATGTGAGTCACTCCCACTCATTCATGCACTCTGCCTTCAATGGGGGGGAGCACAGCGCCCCGTCCTCAAATGTGGGTTTACACTTTTTGTCTTACTTCCAAGGAGCACACTACGGGAAAGGGAGGTCCAAGTTATTTTACAGCAGAGCAGCCTGCCGAGCACCTGCCGAGCCAGGTTATCAAGGTCAATATCAATGACATAAGGCAGGCTCACGGCCACTTCACCCCTGTGATCTTCCTCCCTGAGCCCAGGCTCAGATGGAGACAGACAGACAAATGCCAACAGAGGGACATTTTACAAAATACCTGACCAGTACTCTTTTAAACTGTGAAGGTCATCAAAACCAGGAACTGTCTGAGACGGCCACAGGCAGAGGGAGGCGAGAGAGACGCGAACGCCAAGTGTGATGCTGTGTCTTTGTTGGAATCGTGGAGCAGAAGAAGGACATTAGATAAAGGCTAAGGAAATCTGAATTAAATCTGGACCTGAGGTAACAACACATCAACGTGGATTAACTCTAAAAAATGTACCATACTGATCGTAAGACGTTAACAGGGAAAAGTGGATACATGGGGAGTGGGCTTCCTTTACGTCCAGTACCCCCAGTGGATGCCGGAAACTGCACAAAGTACGAAATCCTATGACGTTTTTCCTTGCACATACCCACATGCCTTTGATACATTTTAATTCATAAATTAGGTGCGGTAAGAGAATAAAATAGAGTATAACTATCTACCATAATGAAACTTATTTAAAACTTATGGATTATTTCTGGAATTTTCCATATAATATTTTTGGACCACAGTTGACCATGTGTGACTGAAACCACAGAGTAAAATCACAGTCAAGGGAGGATACCGCACATGGGAACTGTCTGCTATCTTCACTATTTTTCTGTAAGTCTGAAACTGTTCTACAAGGAAAAGTTTATTTAAAAAAACAGATAAAAGTAATTTCAAAACTCCACTGGATCATCTCGCAGGCCCCGTAAGTTACAGGCACCTGCCTCAGAGCTCGCTGGTCCTGGGAGCTCCTTGCTGCTGTAAGTGCGGTGACAGCACCTCGGTACCGGAAGCAGGGCCTCGCCCCGCCAGGTTCCCTGGCATGAATGGGCTCCTCAGGGGCCCTGTGAGGTCGCCCGGAACAAACCGCTCCTCTCTGCGAGGAGTCCAGCTGGTCAGCGCAGAGCACTGTTTAACCACAAGTGACGCTGCACCGTTGACCCGGCGCTAGGCGAGAGGGCAAGGTGGCCAGTCCCCGGCCTCCCAGTCTTTACTGCTCACCGCCTTCTGTGGAACTCTCTGACCCTGTGAGCCTCAGCACTTGGAACCACTCCTCGCTCCCATCCCCAGAACACCTGCTCTGCAGAAGGGACACGATCATCAATCCCACCTTACAATCCTACTATCAGCGCAAGTCGCCGCAGTGGCTCTCCTCAAGGCATTTACAACTTGAGGGGCCTGCACAGTATGATAATAACCCCTAATTCAGGAACAGAAAACAGCACCTCCTGTTTCAGAAGGAATCAGGAAGGTACTTTCGGGGCACATGGGTAAGGAGAAGCGGGAGAGAAGCCAGCTGCTCAGTGGTGGGTCCATGGCCTCAAACTCCGTGTGACTTGACCTTCTGCTCCCCAAGAGCTGCGTCCAGAAGCCCTGTCCTTTCCATCCATACCTGTGGCCTTTTCCAAGTGATGGCCTTCATCTTGGTTTTCTGGCTCAGCTCATGGGCGCCCAGGGACTGAACACCTGCTGGGAACACACGGTCTTCGAAGAGGCACTTCTGAGCCAGACAGCGCTGTCTGAGGACGACAAAGTCCTGCCCCTCGTACTTGATGGGCTGTGTGACGGTGCCCTCTCCATTCCTCCTGTCCCTCTCTCGGATCACGCGGTCACAGAAGAATCCCGGCAGCAGGTAGGGCATGGCGATCTCCCAGGAAGCCGAGCTGGGCCTTGGCTGGGGCCTCTCCCCCACAGCGCCCTCAGCCCAGGCCTAATCCTCCTGTGAATGGCCTGCTGCCTATATAGCTCCTCCACCCTCAGCAGGCAGTGCGATGCAAATGAACACAGCCCAGAGAAAGGCCGTGGTCAGAGTCAGCAGCTTTGGCTGGAGGCCCCTGAGCCCACGGACTAGGGGCAACACCATGCAAGTCTGAGAGTGCGCGAGCGAGCTCGCCACGGAGGGAAGAGAGAGCCGGGACGGCCCCTGGACAGACCACGGTGGCCTGGAGATCTTTACAGCACCTACAGCTGCCTTGCTGGGATTCTTTCTTCAAAAAGAGAAAATAGGGTCAGAGAGAGCTTACCCTGTCTCAGCAAAAGGCATTCATGCCTTTGACACTGGCGGTCAGTGGGATATAGCATGGGGCCTTCTAAACATGCTGTATACACTAATCCTATACAGGCTGCTGAATGCATAGGAGGAATCTGCTCTGGGCCATTGTCTGATGCTAATGAAGCCTTCATTCTCCTCATGGCCCCGCTCCACCCCAGAGACTGTGGCCAGCTGTTTAGGGACTCCCACGGGAAGGAAGCAGAGGGGAGGGAACTTGACCTCAGGTGAAAGTCCCCATAGGTCGGCCCGGCCGCAGTGCGCAGACATTTGGGGTAGCGTGCTCAGGACCTTCAGGGCAGAGAGCATGGTAGCAGGGCAGGTGCAGGGACATGTATGGGAGTTACAGCCCACAGAGGCTCAGCTTTTCCAAAGCTTCACCAGGCTGACTCAGGCAGCACTGGCGTGAGAGCAGCGAGCTGCGGCGGGTGCAAGGCAGGGCTGGCAGCTCGCCCACTAGGAGGATGCCCAGCCTCCCGGCTACTCCATGGCTCCTGTTGGCCTTCGTCCATGCACACTGTGCTTTTCACCACGGGCAATGGACTACTTGCATCACAGTCACCTGGGATGTCAGTTTACAATGCAAATTCCCTGGGACCCATCCCAGGCCGGGTACTTTGGGTAAGGGTCTGGGACTCAGCATTTTAAATGAGATCCATACTGAAGCCAAAGTTTGAAACCTTGACTTCAGCATTATGTGTGGCCATGGCTCTCAATATTTGCCAAGGTCACTTCTTTTAAGAATTGATTTTAGGGGCCTGCGCTGTGGCGCTGGCATCCTATATGCACCGGATCAAGTCCCGGCTGCTCCACTTCCAATCCAGTTCTCTGCTGTGACCTGGGAAAACAGTGAAAGATGGCCTAAGTCCTTGGGCCCCTACACCCGCGTGGGAGACCTGGAAGAAACTCCTGGTTCCTGGCTTTGGATCGGCGCAGCTCCAGCCATTGTGGCCATCTTAGGAATGAACCAGCGATGGAAGACCTCTCTTTCTCTCTGGCTCTACCTCTAACTTCTTCAAATAAATAAAATAAATCTTTAAAAAAAGAAATGATTTTATTTATTTATTTATTTATTTTATTTTCCTTTGGTTGATAAACAATTCTTTTAAAAATCCAGTTCTACAAAAGGCACACAGGGAAGCAGCAGTCTCATTTCTCTTTCCACCTCTCAAGCTCTCTGCAGAGGCAGCTTCTGTGACTTCAATTTCTTTTTTTTTTAAAGATTTATTTTATTTACTTGAAAGACAGAGTTACAGAGAGAGGTAGAGACACAGAGAGAGGTCTTCCATCTGCTGGTTCACTCCCCAGATGGCTGCAATGGCTGGAGCTGCACCGATCCGAAGCCAGGAGCCAGAGCTTCTTCTAGGTCTCCTACATGCATGCAGGGGCCCAAGGACTTGGGCCTTTTCCACTGCTTTCCCAGGCCATAGCACAGAGCTGGATTGGAAGTGGAGCAGCCGGGACTAGAACCGGCACCCTTATGGGATGCTGGCACTGTGGGCCAGGACTTTAACCCACGGTGCCACAGCGTCGGCCCCATATAACTTAAATTTCTTTCATCTGGAATTTATTGTCATATTTCTTTTTTAAAGTTTGTATTTATTTATTTCAGAGGTAGAATTACAGACAGTGAGGGGGAGAGACAGAGAGAAAGGTCTTTCCATATGGGATGTTGGCGCCGCAAGCGGAGGATTAACCTACTGTGCCACAGTGCTGGCTCCATATTGCCATATTTCTAAATAATATCCTTATTGCTTTTTGTTATTTTCAGAAGGTACCTATTACAGCAAATCAGATTTAGGCTTCTTATGCTATATTCTGCCCAATTTCTTCCTTCCCCTAGGAGTTACTTTACAAATTTTGCTGCAATCCAAATTCAGTATGTACCTCAGTGTGATTAGCTAAATATTGTTCACATCTTGGCTATTTGGTAGGCTGTGGTTAAATTTTCTTTCTATATAAATGTTTTCATTTTCTTTTCTTTTCTTTTTTTATTTACTTGACAGGTAGAGTTATAGACAGTGAGAGAGAGAGAGGGAAAGGTCTTCCTTCTGTTGGTTCACTCCCCAAATGGCCGCTACAGCCGGCGCTGCGCCGATCCGAAGGCGGGAGCCAGATGCTTCCTCCTGGTCTCCCACGCGGGTGCAGGGGCCCAAGCACTTGGGCCGTCCTCCACTGCCCTCCCGGGAGCTGGACTGGAAGAGGAGCAACCGGGACTAGAACCCAGCACCCCGACAGGGACTAGAACCCGGCGCCCATATGGGATGGAGTTCCTGTCCCTTTTCCCTGCACGCAGTTTCATTTCTTGGTTCTTAACTCTTCCTTGATTTTACTGGCACATGATTTCCAGCTTCCTAAGAATGGGCAGATGGGAGATAAACCTTCTCAGTCTAACTCACCTCTTACACTTTATTTGAGAGGCAAAAACAAAGTGATTGGAGCATGCACACTCCCTTCTGGATTCACCTTCCAAATGCCATGGTGGGAACCAGGAACTAAATCCGGGTCTCCCACATGGTGGCAGGAACCCCATCACTTGAGCCATCACTTGTTGCCCGCCACGCTTTGTGGTAGCAGAGCCAGGTGTCGAATCCAGGTGCACTGAGACAGGACGCAGGCAGCCTAAGCACTCCCTGCCCACCTCCTCTTCACCCTTGCACTTGGCTGAGCATTTGCATAGCTGTTGCAGCTTGAAAACCAGTTTCCGGTCAGAATTTTTAAGGCACTGCCCCATTTTTCCTGACCTCTGGTGTTAAGAGGTATGATGCAGTGGGTGGTCCTTGGATACATCCGGATGAAGCTCCTGGCTTCAGCCTGGCCCGGTGCTGGCTGCTGTGGTCATCTGGGGAGTGAACCAGCAGATGGAAGATGTCTCTGTAAATCTGACTTTGAAAAATAATCTTAAAAAAGCATTTATATATGTATTTTAATATCTAACAAAGTGACTTTAAAAGCAAAAAAAGTAAGTTTCTTAGAGATTGAGTCACAGCAAATTCCTATGAAAATAAATATTACTGTGGCTTATCAGGTAAAGCCACCACCTGCAGTGCCGGCATCCCATATGGGCACTGGTTGGAGTCCCAGCTGCTTCACTTCCAATCCAGCCCTCTGCTGTGGCCTGGGAAAGCAGGGGAAGATGGCCCAGGTCCTTGGGCCCCTGAACGCATGTGGAAGACCAGGAAGAAGCTCCAGGCACTTGGCTATCGATCTGCCCAGCTCTGGCTATTGCAGCCATTTAGGGAATGAACCAGCGGATGGAAGATTTCTCTCTCTGCGCTTCTGCCTCTCTCTAACTCTGCCTTTCAAATGAATAAATCTTTAAAAAAGAAAAGAGAAAAAGAAATATTACTACTCATTCAAAAGGAAAATAATTTCAAATAACTATGATTATTAAATAGATTATAGATACAAATTTTTTAAAGAAAACAGTGGCAAAAATCTATCAAATATTAAGATATTACAGAACATCTAGTTCTCCCATCTTACACAATCTCTTTCAGAGAACAGAATGAACATTTCCCATTCATTAAAGATTTTTTAAAATTTTAAAAAAGATTCATTGGCAAGGAAGAGATACAGAGAGAGAAGGAGGGAGAGAGGTTTTCCATATGCTGGTTGAAACCCCCAAATGGCTTCAAGGACCAGGGCTGCACCAGGCTGAAGGGCCGAGTCCAGAGCTTCTTCCAAGCCCCCCGTCTGGGTGCAGGGGCCCAAGCACTTGGGCCTTCTTCTGCTGCTTTCCCAAGCTGGATTGGAAGTGGAGCAGCCCAGACTTGAACCAGCACCTGTATAGGATGCTAGCATCATAGGTGGAGGCCTAACCTGCTAGGCTACAATGCTGGCCCCAATAAATAAATCTTTAAAAAATTTTTGAAACATTAAAAATACCAGGGCTGGCACTGCGGTGTAGCAGTAAAGCCGCCACCTGCAGTGCCGGCGTTCCATTTGGGCACCTGTTTGAGTCCCAGCTGCTCCACTTCCGATCCAGCTCTCTGGGAAAGCAGTCGAAGATGGCCTAAGTCCTTGGGTCCCTGCAACTGCATGGGAGACCCGGAGGGAGCTCCTAGCTCCAGATGGGTACAGCTCTGGCTGTTGCAGCCACGTGGGGAGTGAACCAGCAGATGAAGGCCTCTTTCTCTCTCAATCATCTCTGCCCCTCTGTAATTCTGCCTTTCAAATAAATAAATCTTTTTTAAAAATTAAAAATACTGCTAAGAGAGTGAAAGGCAAGTTAGAAAGTAAGAGAAGATATTTATAACATATCTGAATAATAAATGATTAGTGTGAGGATATATAAAGAATGCATACAACTCAAACTGAAAATACAAGTAAAAAAAGCAAAATGAGTGCATGAACAGTGATACAACAAGTGACCAAGATATGCATTAATGTACAGCTAAGATTCTCCGCCCATTCGTAATCAGGGAAATGCGTCATTCCATGCATCTCTGGGCCATTTCTCCCCTGCTCTTCCCATTTTCCGTATTGTACTGCTGGGCTGTCTCACTACGAGATCTAGAGCTCTGTTCTCATCATGCCCCCCAGAGGAACTTCCGTCTTGTCGAACAAGAGCAGTTTCTAGGCTTGTCGCTTCCAC